CCTTTAGAATGAAGTTCAAGGCCAAGGTTATGGCATGGGTGACCCCGTGTCATCCACATGGAGAGGAAACAGGAGGAACAGAAGCTGGTTTAGGACATTCTCAGGGGGAGATGATGCATGGTGTTTGGGACACGGTGAGTTTAAGACATTCATTGGACCTCCAGGAGGGGAGGAGGGGATGTCCAGGAGGCAGGTGGATTCAGGGGTCTAGAGCTTATGAGAAAATTGGGGGCTGAAGACGTGGGCTTGGGAGCCAAATACGATGTCAGTTAAAGCCACGAGAATGTGTGTAGAGTTTAAAGAAGGGAGGTTCTCAGATGGCGCTCTAGGGAGTGACCGAGGTCAGGCTCAAGACATATCGTGAGAAGAGAGCTGTGTGGGCTTCATCTCTGTAGCCCCTGAGGCTTGGGCACAAAACCAGCCTCAGAGACATCTGTAGGGTGAAGAGAAGCCCTTTATGTAATACGTGCATGGACATCTTTAGTTCCTCGGGAGACGGCAAACAGGGAATGGGAGGAGGACCAACAACCTCCCCGGCAGTCCGCCCCAACCCAAGAGGTGTGGAAGAGAGACCCTGTGATGGGGGAAGGAAAAAGGCTCAGTCTTGCAGTTGGCCCCCTCCTCCCCCCACAGATGATCCAAAGCAGAGCATCAAGAGGTGGCAGCAACTCCCCAAAGGTGGGTGGAACACAGGGAGCCATCCCTGGCTGGCATTTTCCTTGGATCCTAGTGAACTGGCTAAGAGCACAGAGTCTGGGGCTTCCCTGGTGCCGCAGTGGTTAAGAATCTGCCTGCCAATGCAGGGGACACGAGTTTGAGCCCTGGTCTGGGAAGATCCCACATGCCGCGGAGCAACTAAGCCCATGCACCACAACTACTGAGCCTGCGTGTTGCAACTACTGGAGCCCGCGTGCCTAGAGCCCATGCTCCGCAACAGGAGAAGCCACTGCACTGAGAAGCCCGCGCAGCAATGAAGACCCAAAGCGGCCAAAAATAAATAAATAAATAAATAACGTAATAAAATAATTGAAAAAAAAAAAAAGAGCATAGAGTCTGGTTTCTGGTTCTAAATCCTGGCCCTTGCATTTACAGTGTGTAACTTTGGGCAAATTACTTAACATCTCTGTGCCTCAGTTTCCTCCTCTGTAAAATGAGGACAATAATAGTACTTTCTCATAGAATTGATATGAGGATGAAATGAGCAAATATTTATAAAGTACTAGTATTAGTACCTGGCACATAGTGAATGCTAGGTAACTATTAAATTAAAAAGAAATAATTTCATTCCTTCGTGAATACTTATTGACTAGCTACTATGTGCCAGGCACTGTTGTAGGCACCGGGGACACGGCAGTGAATAATGCAGGTGAAAATCCCTGTCCTCATGGAGCTTACATTCTAGTAGTGGAGAGGAGGGGTGGAGGCGGACAATATATAAAATAAATTAGCAAAATATATGGTGTGTCAGATTCAAGTGTAGACAGGAGATATGGGCAGGAGTTGGCAAGACAGCTAGCCTACGATCTGGCGCACAGTGGGGCTCAGGAGATGGAAAGGGGAAGGAAGACGAGCAGCAGCGTGGAAACCCTGGCAGAGACATTGGGGCTGCTGACATCATCAGAGTGACAATCGTGATCATCACCCTCATATAATAGCAGCAAACACTTAGCTAGCACCTAATACCAGATACTGTTCTTTCACTTTACACATCATTTCATTGAATCCTTACGGCAACCCTATGAGATTGGTACTGTTATGGTTCCCATTTTTCAAATGAGGAAACTGAGTTAACATAGAGAGGTTAAGTAACTTGCCTTACAGAGTTATACAGCAAGTGAATGAGCTGGGATTCCAACCCAGGTCATCTGGTTCCACTGTTGGTAGATGGACCCGCAGATGGAGGGGACAGGACAAGCTGCCAAGCATCAAGATCAAGTAGGGTTTGGGACTTCCCTGGTGGTCCAGCAGTTAAGGATCCGCCTTCTGATGCAGGGGACACAGGTTCAATCCCTGGTGGGGGAACTAAGATCCCACATGCTGCGGGGCAACTAAGCCTGTGCGCTGCAAGTAGAGAGAAGCCTGCACGCTGCAACTACTGACCCCACGCGCTCTAGAGCCCAAGTGCCACAACTAGAGAAGCCTGTGCACCACAACAAAGAGCCCGTACAGCCAAAATAAAATTTTTTAAAAAAAGATCAAGTAGGGTTTGACCTTCACACAGACTGAAAGGAAAATAACCCCCAACACCCACACATTCGAGGCCCAATATAGTTAATGCACCCTTCAAGGCTGCTCAGAGGGCCTGAGAGGAGTCAAAAAGGACCATGAAACAGAGATATGGGCTCAGCTCTGGAAAGCTCCATCCCCAGAGCTACTCCCTCTAGATGGCCTCTGCTCCCCAGCTCCTCCACACACCACTCCATGGGGCTTTGAGCCCAGCCTCCTATGTATGACCTTAAGTCACCATCCCATAGCCCTGTGATCCCATCCAGAGACCACAAATAAAATGATGACTATCATAATCCTGGGAAATTTAACAAAGGCACCAACAAATCCACATCATAGCTGGAACCAAGAAGGCACATCATCAAAAGGCTGAGAAACAGAGAGAGGCAGGTGGGACTGGTGGGCCCAGAGAGACCTGGAATCCAAAGTAGTAAAAGCCCACAGAGGGGGGCTTTTGCAAGACCCTTTCATATCCTTCCTTACCTCACCTGATATTGCTTAATTCTTACCTTAGGCAAAGCAGAAATGACCAGACAAAGTTGTCAAATGGAGAAATTAGGGCCCACAGAGGAGCAATGAATTATTTAAGACAGGACTAAAGGTCAGATGTCCAAAAGCCCTTCCACCATACCACTCAGAGAGACAGAGAGAGACTAGGGACAGAGACAGAGGGAAAGAAAGGAGGGGGGCAGGGAGGCAGAGGCCAATAGGAAAGACCCAAGAGCAGAGCAATTCTTCCTCATGATTTCCAGGGAACTCCGCGGGCAGGGCTTGGCCTCCTGAACCCTTCATTGAAGCCTCTAACCCTTCATTCCCCCTGTGGGTTGATCAGAGCAGCACCATCTTCACTCCTTCATCCCCAACCCCAGACGAGCCGAATTCTAAAGGGAAGAGAAGGATCAAAGCCCCTCACATAGAGTGGTACAGCACTTGACAGTTTCACTATCATTGAGCTTTAGAGCAGGGAATACCCATAATGACTATCTCCCCATCCCCCTATTGCCACCCATTGTAGAGACGGGAGATCAAGGCCCTGAGATCAGAAGTGACTTTCCAGAAGTCCACAGCAACTCAGTCACAGAAATCTAGGTTTCCTTGGGACTTCCCTGGCTTCCACTGCAGAGGGCATGGGTTCGATCCCTAGGAACTAAGATCCTGCATGCTGCATGGCGTGGCCAAAAAAAAAAAGAAAAAATCTAGATTTCCTTAGTAGGGCATAATAGAGAGGGGCCCTTCCTTCCCTTGCTTGACCTTCATATAAGCTCCCTGGAAAGAACCCTGGGATCCAGGAGAACTAATATTCATCCTGGCTATGCTGAGACTCACTCAGTGGCCTTGGGGCCTCCTCCTATAGAATGTAGGTTCCAAAGTGCAAGGCATACTTGTCTGTTATACCCTCATGTATCTCCAACCCTAGAACAGTGTCTGGCCCATAGTAAATTCCCAATAAATATCCACTGAATGAACGAATGTCTACAGGGCTAGGGTTAGGGAAGTGTCACCGTGACAGCCTGAAGCCTCAAAGAGAAGACTAGGGAACCGTAAGCTTCATCTTCAGTTATATGAAAGGCTAAGATTCTGTCTACAAATACCTACTGAGGGTCCACTATGTGCTGAGTATTGAACTAGGTGCTGGAATTCTGGTGAGAACCCTACAGTCATGCCCTCACCTCAAGAGCTCACAGGCCACTATAATGTGGAATTTTTTTGTGGGCTCCAAAGGGTAGACTCCAGTGCAAGGTGGGGGTCTGGGGGGGGCGGTCTAAGTGACATGCTGCTCAATATAATAGGCTCTTTTCTCAGCCTGAGCGGCCCTGAAATGGTGTCGCTGCTCAGAAGGTGGTGAGTGCAGCGGGACTGCAGCGTTCAAGCCGGGCGCCAGCCGCCCACCTGTCAGAAGCTGTGCCAGGAGTATGCGGGAGAAGAGATTTCTGCCTCGGGTGAGGTCACTTCCCACCCCCAGATGCTCTGCCTACAAAACCCTGCAACTCTCTGATGCTGGATCTTTTTCTTTTCTGAATTTCAAGGTCTCATCATGTTGACAGCTCCAAATTCTAAGTCGTCTGCCCAACACGCCTGGACCCAAAAGAAATAAAGCCGAATTCAGCCAGGGTCCTACCACCCACAGCCTCTGGGGATAGTCAGAGCCCCCTCCCCGCCGCGTGGGGGCTGAAGGGAGGTAACTCGGGCACCGGGGTGCCGAGGACGTCGTGGGGAGATAGGTGTTCCAGAGACGGAGTTGACAGAGCCGAGACATGTGACAGTCCAAGCGTCACGTTCTGTGGTCCGAGAGGCTGGGACCGGGCCTGTCACGTGACGCGAGGAGGGGTGCACCGTGGGGTGATGTGAGATGAGGGGCCTCTCAGATTACATACCAATGACGCATTCTCAGCCCTTTTGGCAAGTAGATTTCCGTTTGAAGATGCAATAGTTCCGGCGAAGTGGGCGGGTTCTCACGTCCTGGCAATTTTGCTTCCGTTCGGAGCCCTGCTGCTTCCGACCTCCGCCTTTCCCTCGGGTGGGGAAGGGACGAGCTCCCGTGCGCATGCTCCAGTCATCCCAGAGGGGGCGGGGCCGAGGCTACTGGAGCGGGAGGGGGGGAAGAAAAGGGAATTCCAACCTGTGGAAACTTGGGGGTCCCCGAGGTCGGCTCCTTCCCCTTGACTGTGGATGGTGCCAGGGAGAGAGCCTCTGGCGGCTCGTGGGGGGAAGTTTTGGGGTCCGCAGGGTGAGGGCGGAGGGGAGTGTCAGAGTGTGAGTGGGATACGGGAGTTCCAAACTTAGAATCTTGAGGCCCGCCGGGCTCCGGCGCCGGGGAGAGGGAGCTCGGGCCGCCATGCGGGACAGGACCCACGAGCTGAGGCAGGTGAGAAGTCGGCGCAGCAGGGTTGGGGACAGGCGGACGGGGTGGGGTCTGGCTGGAATGCAGGACTCCTGGTCTTCGGGGCAGGGAAGGGTGGCTGTGGGCTAGGAAGGAAAGACCCGGAAGTCTGTGAGTCCTGCTGGGCGAGAGCAATATTAAGGAAGTGATGCCAGTGACCCCGGCCCTGGCAGGGGGATGACAGCTCGGACGATGAAGACAAGGAGAGAGTCGCGCTGGTGGTACACCCGGGCACTGCACGGCTGGGGAGCCCGGACGATGAATTCTTCCAGAAGGTAAGAGGCTGAGGTCTCGGCCTGGATTCACGAAGGGGCTGGAGGACCCGAGGAGCATAGAGGCCTGGAGTACCCCCATATCTCCTTCAGCCCTCTCGGTCATCCTCCCCAGGTTCGGACAATTCGGCAAACTATTGTGAAACTGGAGAATAAAGTCCGAGAGTTGGAGAAGCAGCAGGTCACCATTCTGGCCACGCCCCTTCCCGAGGAGAGTGAGTCAAGCCCTGGGTGTAGAACGCATGCTCAGCCCTAGGGATTGTGGGGATTGTAGTTCCACGCAGGTGGTGGGCAGGGAGATTTGTTGAGGTAGGGGCTGCTGTTTGGGCATCGTGACTTTCTCTTGTTCAGGCATGAAGCAGGACCTGCAGAACCTGCGCGACGAGATCAAACAGCTGGGGAGGGACATCCGCGCGCAGCTGAAGGGTGAGCTCCTAGGACCTCAGACAGATACTTTCCTCTGATCCTGCCCAGCTCCTGGTATATCTGGGGAGTGTGTGGCCCAGAGAGGCCAGTGACATATATCCAGGTCACACAGCAGGCCTGCGTCTAGAATCTCCGTCTCCTGGCTTCCAGTCCAAAGTTCTTTCCACAGCATATGCCTGCCTCTCAGGCTCCCTTATTTATAATGAAACCATTTACATTTGACCCTTGACTGAGGCAGAAGTTAGCATTGCCACCCCACCCCCCGACTCATAATATGCATATAACTGTATGGTCCACCCTCCATATCCCAGGTCCTGCATGGGTGGATTCAGCTAACCGTGGATCATGTAGTTCTGTAGCATGCATTTATTTTCTAAATATCTAAGTATAAGTGGACCCACGCAGTTGTGCAAGGATCAGCTGTACTTCTGCAATTCTTGCTGACCAGTGTGCATTCTTTGGGCAGGCAGATGGGGGTTTTGTTAGGAGCCCTCTGCATGCCTGTGGGAATTCTCCGATGTATTTATTGTAAAGAAAAATATACTTTTGCCTGTCAGAGACTCAGAATTAGTCACTTCATGATAAATTTTATTTCCAAAAAAACATCCTATGGCCATAAGCACCTCTCTATTGTATGGCTGGGTGGCTGGGGTCCTAGTCCCCAAACGAATTTCAGAAGCCACAGGTCAAGCTCCCCTGCTCTACCAATACTCTTGTGTCTTTCCACAGCCATAGAGCCCCAGAAGGAGGAAGCTGATGAGAACTATAACTCGGTCAACACAAGAATGAGAAAAACCCAGGTGGGTTCATTATTCCCAGAACTAGGAAATTTCATCTAGTGTTTTATAGATCATTAGATGGCAGATGTGAGAAGGAAGGGCCCTTAGAGATCATCAAGTCCAACCAGGTGATTTTCCAAATGGGGAAACTGAGGCTCAGAGAGGAACAGGATTCACCCAAGGTCAAGAACCGAGGTCTCATGACTTTCAGTCCCTTATATCCCTGCCCTCTTCTCCATTCAGTGAGAAGTTGCTGAGTCCCTAGACATGATCTGGGCTCAGCTGTAGGAGATACTTTCTAGAAGCCAAGATGGGGAGTTAAGCTTGAATAGATGACAAAGACATTACTCAGGTAGGACTTGGTAGCTAATGGCTCTGCCCAGGGAAGAAGAGGGTGCAGTCAAATGGCTGGGAGGTTCCCTGCCCATGTGACAGGGACATTCTCTGCCCCAGGGACAGAATTCAAGAAGTCAGGAAGAGGAACTTCCCTGGGGTGGAACGTCACTGAATCAACAGCTTTGCAAGGAGATTTGAGGTGGTCTGAGCAGCCTCCTCTGGATGCTCAGTGAGGCATGGTTTGGAGTTCTTGGAGATCAGAGTTGAAGTAGGTGGGCCCAGAGCTCAGCAAAGACCCCAGATTGAAGATGGAACAGTTTGGGCATCTTGAAAGGGTACAGCTGAAGCCAGGAGAGCAGATGTGTCTTTGAGGAAGGAACTCCAAGGAATGAGCAGATTTTAGACAGCGAAATGGACAAGGAGAGAGAGTGTTTCGGGGGAGGGGGGGGCTTGTGGTAGTCACTGGTGTGAGAGGCTGACGGCCCAGGTGGGCCTGTAAAAATCTGGGCAATCGCTATGACCCCTGGGCATCCCAGCACACCTCTAGTCTAAGCAGTGAGGCTGGTGTTCAACAAGCATTCCACAAATATTTGTTGAGGGTCTACTGTGTGCCAGACCCTTTTTCAGCTGTTTGGGATACAGCCATGAACCAAAGATCCCTATCCTCACGGAGCTTACATTCCAGTGTGGAGAGACAATCACCATAATAAATCAGTAAATTATTTTAGAACATAGGAAGTATTAAGGAAAAGAGCAGTAGGAGAGGGAATGAGAACATCGGGAGAAAGCAGGCTGCAATAGGTGGAGAAAACTTCACTTAGAAGGTGACATGGTAACAAAGACTAAAGGCCTTTGTGGGGCCTGAGCATTCCAGGCCGAAGGAGAGCAAGTGTAAAGGCCTGAGGTGGGGCTGTGCTCTGCTCAGGGAGGAGTAAAGAGCCCATTGTGGTTGGAGGGAAGGGGTGAGGGAACAGTGTGGGGAGGTAAGGTCAGAGGGGCAACGGGGGAAGGGGTAGGTCATATAGGGCCTTGCAGGTCCTCGTAAGGGCTTCGGCTTTTACTTTGAGACTGGGGGAGCCTTTCAAGGTGGTCAAGGCAGCAGGCACCTATGAGCTCATGCTCTTTGCTCACTGTACCCATGGGGATGCTGAAGCCCAGACCGGGCAGGGATCCTCCCAGGAGTACCCAGCTTCTATTCTCCATCCTTAGCACGGCGTCCTGTCCCAGCAATTCGTGGAGCTCATCAACAAGTGCAACTCAATGCAGTCCGAATACCGGGAGAAGAACGTGGAGCGGATTCGGAGGCAGCTGAAGATCAGTGAGTTGCGGCGTCCGGCCCACAGGGTCAGGTGACCTGACCAGCTCTGAGCCTGGCCTTTTCCTTCACAGCAAATGCTGGAATGGTGTCTGACGAGGAGCTGGAGCAGATGCTGGACAGCGGGCAGAGCGAGGTGTTTGTGTCCAATGTGAGTGGCCGCAGCCAGCCTCCCTCTGCCGGGCCCCCCGTCCTCTCTGAGTCCTGGCCCTTTTTCATGGAGGGAATCCTGAGGCCCAGAAGGGCACGAATTAGCCTGCCTGGAACCACTCTTCAGGGGCCTGGCCCCAGTTCTAGGCCTGAGGGCCACCCCAAAGCTGAACAGGAAATTCTGAACCTGCTGCTGGTTTCCCTGTGACTTGTCCCTTCACTCCTGTCCACTCTCCAGATACTGAAGGACACACAGGTGACTCGACAGGCCCTAAATGAGATCTCGGCCCGGCACAGTGAGATCCAGCAGCTTGAGCGCAGTATCCGTGAACTTCATGAGATTTTCACTTTTCTGGCTACTGAAGTGGAGATGCAGGTGGGCACCCCAGGCAGCTGGCCAGGCTTGATTCAGCCGCCAGACGTGAGACTGTGTTGTGCTGTCAGCCCACCTCCACCCTTAGCCTCTCTCCCCGGGGCTTTTGTTCCCCTCCAGACTGGGCCAAGCCCCAGTCTGGCCTTTATTTCCATCCTTAGCTGTGCCCCCAAATTGCGTCCTCCTGAGCAGCTACTTGGATGGCCACTCCTCTCTACATTGTACCCCATCCCTCAGACTTGAGCCCACCCCAGGTATGGCCCCAACCCTGGCTTCTCCTCCACCAACAGAATCTACCCTCATACTTCTGAGAGCTCCACAGCTGCCCCCTGGAGGGCCTGCCTCCTAAAATCTGTACAAGGATGGAGTGGGAGGTGGTATTCTTCCCGCGGCCCTTATCTCAGGATAAGGGGAGCTTCCAGCCCTGTCCTGGAGGAGCTGACCCAATGCTCTTTCGCAGCTGGGAGTCATGGGGAAGAGCTTTCACTCGGTAGGAGTACCAGGATAGGGAGAACTTCACAGCAGCAGGGAGACAGGCCTAAAGAACACGACTTCAGACAGACTTGTGAGGGGACAAAAGTTCACCCTGTGTGAAAAGATAGGAGCCACGCAAGGCACTCAGCTCCCAGCCAGCACTGCGAGTAGAGGTTGTACGGGGCGAGGGAGCAGGACAGAAGGGACCACATGGTGGAAGGGGGCCTCGAAGCCACCTGCAGGAGAGCGGACTTTGGTCAGATGTGGTCCTGCCTTCACATCTTTGTTAGTGCAGTGTTCTCTGCCAGGAATGTCCTTCAGTCATGTGTGGTTGAGCTGGGCAGACTGAGGAGCTGCTGGGCCCTCCACCCCCAGTCATTCCTACCTGTCTGAACCGCCTCCTCTTCTGAGCAGGGGGAGACGATCAACAGAATTGAGAAGAACATTCTGAGCTCAGCAGACTATGTGGAACGCGGGCAGGAACATGTCAAGATGGCCCTGGAGAACCAGAAGAAGGCGCGGAAGGTCAGCCTCCCCCCTGCCCCGGGTGGCCCTCCCTCCCCTCCTGAGTTTCCCTGACCCCCCTCCTCTCCCACAGAAGAAAGTCTTTATTGCCATCTGTTTGTCCGTCACTGTCCTCATTCTGGTGGTCATCATTAGCGTCTCCACGTTGGTTTGATAGCGCTGCATATTCTCGGTGAGATACTGTGGGCCTGCCCCCTGGCCTGCCCCATCCCTGACCCCAGCCTTTCCTCCTCCCCTCAGACCCTCTTCTGCCCTCCTTCCCTTGCAGGCACTAAGAGCACCAGGGACCCCGGGTCTACCTTCTCTCCCAGCAGCTGGGGGTGGGCAGGACAGAGCCTCCAGCCAGACCCCTTCCTCACACTGGCCTTGTGCAGAGGGGCAGACGGTCCTTCTGGGGTCGGCAGCCCCTCATCCATGGGGGCCTCCCTCCTCAAGCCACAGTGCCTGGGGGCGGACCTGCACTGTCCTGTCTGGCTGGGACATGTGGTTTTGTAAGAAATTAAAAAAAAAAAAAAAAAAAAAAAAAAACTAGAA